GGACCGATGGCCTCATTGAGGGGACTTCATTGTGAAGTTTCTCAGAAAGACTCCACTAGCATCGACTCTCCTGCATCCCAAGGTCAACGCCACCCTAACCAACTACTCTGTGTTGCCACGGTTACCACAGCAACTCTCTCGTCTTGGCAACAGCCTTGCGTCTGTTTAAAAGTAAACGCTTTAGACGCTGTTATCTCATCAGGAGTAGTTTAGATGTAGAAGCAGCTCTGGAACACTTATTGTCGGTAATGGCAAAAGGGAACAATTATTCTGATGCTTTTAAATATGTTTGTTTGGAAAAGGCAAGAGCTTTTAAAAACATTATAGTGGATGTTCCTTTTGGGCATCTTATGTGCCTCTTTAATGCCCCAAAATGCTGTCCAGGTTAGCAACACACAAGGTTTTGAGGCATGGACAACAATGAGGTCTCATCAATAATGATGGTCCGCTGGCCTGGCATCAGTAGAGAATTATCATTTGCTTTACTTTGTCATTGATATATTTTATATTTTTTTGATCATGCACATGCATTTTTTATGCCTTGCAAACTTTTCTGTGCTTTTCAACTTTTCACATTGGTTAAAGTTCCCATGAAATCAAAATGGAAGTTTTTTTTGGCTTTTAGTAGGAATATGTTAGCCTTAAAGCTGCAGTCCGTAACTTTTTTGTTTAAAAAATGATCCAAAATCCATTTTTGAGCAAGTACATAACCAGCCAGTGTTCAAAACTATCGCCTTTAGCTCGATTCACAACGGTAAGCTTGTAATAAAGTTATCTTTGCCAGGATGTGTATTTATATAAGCGCTCCATCTGTGAATAAGTGCATGTGCATTGGCTGAATCAACCATTCATCTGTCTGTCTGCAGTATTTCATCAAATGCCAACTGATAATCTGACATATCCTTCATTGGCATTGAGCGGTTTCTCTCTCAAAGAGAAAGAGCTAAAGACGGCTGTCTGTATCCAGACACATGTTGCGTTTCTTTCTGAGATGTGATTCCCTGGAGAGCCGCTGCCATTTTTTATAGAGTTATTAAGCTCTCTAAAGATGTGCTATTTAATTTCCTCTGTAAATTTTTCTCATTTGTCCGTGATTGTAATCAGGTTTTCCGCAGCGAGGAGCGGTTGTGTTTCTGAGGCGCCATGCTCTCCATATCCTGCTGTCTGTGATCTGATTAGATGTCCATTAGTTCAGTTTCACTTAAGACTGGCTGGATGAGCCCCCTCTGCCCCAGTGTAGATCACGTCACAAGTTAGAGACGCTCTATAATTTATCAAACAAACTGACTTGAACGACTGTGATTTTAGCTGGAAGTGCAACTGGGTCATTTCTATTAAGATGTATAAAGGGCATTCAGAAATATTCTGTTTGCTTAATTATATCTAGATTGTTTTATTCAGCATCATTTGATAATCATATTGCTGTGATCACCAGTAGAAAATCTTTAAACATGCCTTTAAACATAAAGCTTTCTGCAAGTGATAATGGTGCAATGTTAATTTCATCAGACAAATAGCGCTGAGTTTTAAGGCAATTTCTATAATAAGCCTAATTTGAATGAGGCATGTTTTTGCACAAAAGAATGACACTGATTTCACTTAATATGCATGGTAAAGCACTATACCAGTGATATTTGATATTAGCTGAACAAATATTAATATATATTTTTTTATTATTATTATTACAGCTTTTATTATATTTAGCATTAGTGTAAGTTTGATTTTAATAGATTTAAGTTATTCAAAGGAAGTTGACGTCATCCATCATTGAAAACCGTAATTGTTCAAAGACTCTTTATTTTTTTCCAGATCTTCACACGCTATGGAAAATGCTACACCTTCAATTCTGGACAGGACGGGCGGCCACTGCTGATCACCATGAAGGGAGGGATGGGAAATGGGCTGGAGCTGATGCTGGATATCCAGCAGGACGAGTATCTGCCTGTGTGGGGAGAGACTGGTACGTCTCATTAACCCTAGTAATCTCATGTTTCTTCTCAGTTTTAAATGAGCTCCCATAATATTAACCAGCAATTGCTTCATTTGTGTCTGATTTTATTTCTCATAAAGAACTGTAGGAGAAACATCTGAGACAAAGCTGGATCCATTCAGTCTTCTGAGGAATGAAAGATCCAGCAGATCTCTTTTTTTTACACTCTTGATTCCCAAGAGGAATCCACACTCAAATGATGCCAGCTGAAACTCTTGGGATTCCACCTATTCTTCCAGGCAGATCTGCATGAAATCAGCATTACCTGAGCCGTCTAAATGTCAGTAATCTGCTTATGAGGGTTTAGTTTAGGATTATTCTGTGTTTGCTAGACAGGCGCTCCGTCTTTATTAATAATCAACAGGTTAAACCAGACGGACTGTGAATGAACAGTTCATGTCACAAAGCTCACCGCAAGAGACAGAATCGATTCAAACCCATAAAAATGCTGCTAGCGGACATAGAAACTTCTTAGCAGCAGCCTAACTAAAACAGACACTGATTTGGAATGCTCGTTTCGATTCGCAATTGATTTCAATGCAGTGTGATTTCAATGTCAGCATGTTATTAATATTGGCACACACATAGCCTAATAAGTCTTTTTTATTAGATTAAACTGTTTGTCTTGACTCTTCCACCATATTGAATGGGTTTTCACTGAGCTTACTGTAGTTCATTCTGGGATTGCAACAATGATGCAAACAAAGAATTTGGCCAAAATTAGGTATTACAATTATGCCTATAATGCCTTAAAATGCTAAGTAGGGAAAAAAAACAGATGAACACTCAGCAGAACAGTTTATCAGACTGAACAAGCTGAACAAACTGAACAAACATGTTTGCCAGCAGAAGGTCAGAATGCTGTGAGGAGAAAATGTCTGTGACCTTTCCAGTAAAGTTCAATCAGTATTGAGCACTCAGAATACAGAAGATGATGTCAGGCCGGATCCTATTGATCAGAAAACAGCAAATACACAAACACGCATTACAGCTGCAAGCCAATTACAAGTGATGCTATACGTCCAGAAGTGAACCTCACTCGCATCTGTCTCTCAGCGGGACCAGTTTAACCTCTCTACGCCTCTGTAATTGAAAAGAGAGAGGGGGTAGATGGGAAACCCTGCACACCTGTCTGTGTCGACACCCGACATTTACCGAGATTGTTTTTATAAAGCTGTGATTTCCCGAAGAGTTCTGCTTGTGCTCCTACAAATTTCTCCAAACGCCAGGTGCACTCGAAGGTCTCCGGTATCTAATCACATCCTCCAAGCAGCTCTCTGATTACTCGGGTGAACACTGTCCTGAAATCTCTTCCACAGCTGACTGGATTTCTCTGTAATTACAGAGCAGCTGTCTCAAAGTCTTGACAATGCCAGACTCATGCAGAAACTGTACTGCACTGTTTCTCTCGAAGGCTTTTCACACTACGCTTAACCCTGGGTTAACATCTTTTTAACCCTGAGTTAATCCATGTGTCACACTTTCGAAAGGGGGTTAGCATTACTTTTAACCCTGGGTCATAAAGCCCTGCTCACCCTGAATTATACCAAATTGGTACAAAATGAAATTAGAGTGCTAGCATATTTTGGCAAGACTTTAAATGAAAGGTTTAAATGGAAAAAATCACAGATTTTCAACATGGTCTCAGACTTTTAGACAAATGGTTATTAACCCAGGCTGAATGCTCTTCTCACCCTGTACTTGTCCAGTCTTGTAAATATGCAAATAAGAACATTCGTCCAGAGTTTACCATGTAAAATCCTGAATCCTGTCTAGTCAGGATTAAAGTAACAAACCTGGGACTGAGTTTAACAAGGCCTGGTTTTGATAGTGGTTTGTTCTGTCTGAGTGCTGGATGATGCTCTAGATGATCTGCTAATATACAATTCATGAAACGGCATCCGAGTTTACTGTGGCCGGCTGCATCATCTCCCTCATGTTGTTCTGTTTGTGTGATAATTATCATTAAGCAGATGTTTAAAAGACAAAAATGGTGCTACAGCAGGTGGGAGACATCCGTAACTCCTCTGTGTGCTCATAGAGGATGTGCTTGGAAACTGCATTTGTTACAATAGTCATTAGTAGTGTCACATGTGGACCGCTGTGTGGACCATGTGAAAATCCAGCAGGCTGTGGAAGAAAGCCAGCATTTAGACTGTAATGTACTGATTTAAAGTATTTAAATGACGCCGGGCAGTGTCAGACACAGCCTATAATCTGCGCTAACACTAATGTTTGTTTAGCTGTCCATAGAGACGTGTCTCTAAACCTCAGGATTATTCCAGTTTACGGTCTGAGGATGGCACATGGCTAAATGTCAAAACATTAGACGGGAAGCTGTTTGAAATGTCTTGAGACTAGTATATAAACATCACTTTTCCTGTCAGTGTAGCTGTTTTTTAATGTTTGTTTCTGGCTTGTTCTGTTTTTATATTGTCCAATGTCTTTCTCATTTTGAAATTTGTCGATTTCCTGTTTGTTCATTTGTGTTGTGCATATAATCTGCCTGTAGATGTTTGAACTCAACCTCATTTGTTGCATTATTCACAATGTTTTACCACAATTGTTACGTATTTTTATGGTCTTATGCGCCGTTCGTATTCATATTGGATGTGGGACATTCTTAAAGGGGTCATATGATGCGATTTCAATTTTTCCTTTCTCTTTGGAGTGTTACAAGCTCTTGATGCATAAAGAAGATCTGTAAAGTTGCAAAGACTAAAGTCTCAAATCCAAAGAGATATTCTTTATAAAAGTTAAGAGTTAACCACGCCTACCTAAAACGGCTCATTCTAACACGCCCCCACATATCTACCTCACTATGTGGGACAAAATACTGTTCTTTTTAGCAGCATCATATGACCCCTTTAATTCCTTTCTGAGACTTTGGGACCAAGTGGGAAGATAACGTAAAAAGAACGAAAATAGTAATGGTAGGCTTGTATTTGTGTAGGTGTACAATTATCAACAAAACTGTTCACATTTACTTAGTGAAGTCTTATTGTCGTAGTGGAGAAACGTAATATTTACAATCATCTATTCTTTGAAGTTGACCTTGTTTGTAGCATTATTGCATTGATTTATTGTTATAGGCACATTTTTATGTCATGTATTCCAGGACACGTTTTTGTAGTCATGCTTTTGGGTTCGAAGTTTAGATTAATTTGGTTTAATTAGCGGTGTTTGCTAAGGAAGGTGTCGTTATTACTGTTGCTCCTATTTGGAATTGGGGAACAAACACCAGTGACATTTTTTTCATTCACTGTCATGATCTTTTACTTTTTGTATAAAAAAAAGACTCTTGGGTTCAACTTGAGACTTCAACTTGAGCACAGCCCATATGACCTGATACCATCTGTTCTTCTGAGACACCTGCATTGAGTACATGTCCCAGTCTTCACGTCTCTTTTTCTCTCTCACAGATGAGACGTCTTTCGAGGCGGGAATCAAAGTCCAGATCCACACGCAGGATGAACCGCCTTTCATCGATCAGCTGGGATTCGGAGTGGCTCCAGGCTTCCAGACGTTCGTCTCCTGCCAAGAACAGCGGGTACCAAATCATTGTTCTTTTTGTAAATTTCTTAATGCTGGACTCGTTTCAAAACGCACAGGACTGCAATTGTGTCAGTCTGTTGTTTAAGTGCTTGGTTTTGGTTTCTGCAGCTGCTTTTTTTATGCATGTTTGTTTGTAATACTTTAATGTGGAGGAACACACTCCATTTGTGAAAGTTCTGATTGGCATTCTGACATTATTTTAAAGCCAATGAAGCACAGTTTCAGCCTTAAAGGGATAGGTCACCCAAAAATAAAAATTTGATGTTTATCTGCTTACCCCCAGGGCATCCAAGATGTAGGTGACTTTGTTTCTTCAGTAGAACACAAACGAAGATTTTTAAGTCCAGCCGTTGCAGTCTATCAGTCGTATAATGCATGGCAATGGTAACAAAATCTATGAGAGTAAAAAAAAACATGCACAGACAAATCCAAATATATATATTAGTATAGTATTCATTCATCTTGGTAGTAGTAACTGCCTTTAATATTGATTTAAATTACAAATCATTAACAGTATAACAGTAATTTTTGGGAATAATGGGACGTTCACATTTTGGCAATGACAATGTGTGGTGAAAATGTGCTTAATCGTAATGAATCAGAATTATCTTTATTTGCAGAATGTTCGCAAACACACAAGGAATTAGTTTTTTTTTATTTGAATTGCTTTTTTTAGGAGCTCTTGGTACATGCATATATGACGAGAACAGAAAGAACATTTAAATAAGACTAAGGAAAAAAATCTAATTTTTAAAAATAATTTTTAATATATAATTAATTGCTGTGATGTCTGACAGTAAAAACTGAATAATCTGACATTGTGAACCGACAACTACTTCAAATTTACAACTATGTTAATATTTGCTGTGTATTTGATTTAATGATTAATAGCCATTATTGTCCAGATTGAGAATTTCAATTAATTAATTTTATTGAAATATTTATTTGCTGTGAAATTACATGGTTAGAATATGTATTTACATAATACTTGAGAGAGAGGCAATAATTAGTTTTTAAGAAATGAATTGCAGAAGATAGGTGGTAATTTCTGTGTTAACTGTTTAAGATGGAGATGGCATGGGGGGAAACTGTTTTTATGCCTAGATGTTCTAGTGCACAGAGATCTGTAGCGTCTGCCTGAGGGGAGAAGTGCAAACAGGTTGTGGCCGGGGTGAAAGGGGTCTGTGATGATGTTTCCTGCCCGTTTCTTCACTCTGGAGTTGTACAAGGCCTGAAGATTGGGCAGGTGCACACCAATTATCCTTTCAGCTGTCCTAACAGTCTGTTGCAGTCTTCTTATATCTGATTTGCTGGCTGACCCAAACCAGACAGTTATAGAAGAGCACAGAACGGACTCAATATAACAGCTGAGTAAAACTGTGTCATCTGCGCCTGTGGCAGCTTGAACTTTTTCAGCTCACGATGTCATGGTGCCCATGAATCTGAACGAGTCCACTGCTACCACAGTGCTGCTCATGTATACATTACTGAAAAAAGAAACTGTCATAAAATATACTTCATTTTCACTATTCAAAAAAATATTGTTATAAAATAAGCTTTTTCACTATTCAAACTACGAATTCCTGTGTTTTTGCTTGATTTTAGACTGAGATATGATGTGTACAGCTTTGTGAGATTCACCCAAGAATAAATTTGGTCTCCCACAAGCACAAAGATGATTTGATTTTCAAATGAGAGCAGTGGACGACACAGAGGTCGACCCTGCTGCCTGGAATAAATATTATTTATTTATAGGATTCTCAGAATCCATGTTGAATTTTCATGAAGGCCACATCATAAAATAAAAACAGCAACTTTGTTTCAGTGATTGAAAGAAACAGTCGAAATCAAGGTGTACGTGATCGATAAAGAGTCAAAGAGACGGGCAGACAATCTGACTGGATGAAGACAGACAGAAAGGTGGTTGATATGCACAGACGGATCTCTACAGTGCTGCTCATGTATACATTACTGAAAAAAAAACTGTCATAAAATATACTTCATTTTCACTATTCAAAAAAATATCATTGTTATAAAATAAGCTTTTTCACTATTCAAAATACGAATTCCTGTGTTTTTGCTTGATTTTAGACTGAGATATGATGTGTACAGCTTTGTGAGATTCACCCAAGAATAAATTTGGTCTCCCACAAGCACAAAGATGATTTGATTTTCAAATGAGAGCAGTGGACGACACAGAGGTCGACCCTGCTGCCTGGAATAAATATTATTTATTTATAGGATTCTCAGAATCCATGTTGAATTTTCATGAAGGCCACATCATAAAATAAAAACAGCAACTTTGTTTCAGTGATTGAAAGAAACAGTCGAAATCAAGGTGTACGTGATCGATAAAGAGTCAAAGAGACGGGCAGACAATCTGACTGGATGAAGACAGACAGAAAGGTGGTTGATATGCACAGACGGATCTCTGCTCTTGTAATTGGAGGTCACTGAGTCTCCCATGTGCAGTGGATTGATTTCAGTAACATTTCCCCTCATTTATTTTCTTCTTACACAAAGATTAAGCCTGCATCTCTAGAGGCATCACTAAGATTCAATGTCACTGGCTTTTACAGGATTAGCATCCATCTCCGTCTGTCACTCTGACAACTGTATTTACTAATGGATGCTACTCTCAGACTGTGCTGAAGACTGAATAATGTTTATATGTGGTTAACTGAAGTCAATTTGTAATGCCTGTTACCATACCAATAGGTATTGGGTCAAAAATGTGGTTTTGTTTGATTATTTTGTGTATCCACCACTCAATACTCAACAGGAAATTTATATTGCTCAGTCCACACAACAATGCTATTTTCTTAAAATTAATTCAGTGTTGTTCGCAAACACACCTTTGAGTAAATGAGGCTTTCTATAGAATGTGCCAGATTCATTAGTCACTGGCATTCGCGTCACACAATTGATGTTGCATTATTAACACTGTGACATTAGCATGTTGCCACGCTAACAAGGCAATATCCTAATTAGTGGAAAAATACGTAACATGCACAAATGTTGGGCAAAATTGCTGTTTTTAATAACGTTAAACTATTTTTAACAGTCTTTTTTCCATTGAGCTGGTTGCAGTGCATTCTGGGATTGGATACATGCCAAAACACGAACAGTGTTCACGTTGAGGATCCTCCTATAATGCCTTCAAATGCTGCCTATGTTGCCAGCTTACTAGTTTTCAGAGCGAAGTCAACATGTCAGATGCTGTCGGTGAAGCTTGCATTGTTTTGAACCTAAAACATTCCTCTAATGTTTCAAGTAGAAAGTTTATAGATAGTGAATTCATGCAGTAATGTTATGTAAAGCATTAGCTTGCTTTACCTTTTGTGTCTGGGGTTTGTGTGTGTGTATTTTTAGCGCATGTGCAGCATTTGTTTGTGGTGTACGTGTGTGTGCATTTCTCAAGCTGATAGTGAGGTGTCTTCAGGGATTATAATGTTGTCCAAAACCTAGTGATGTGCCAAATAGACTTTTTGCAAAGGCTGTTCCAAAATGTATGCAGAAACATTATGCAGCCTTTTAAGATCATTTGTTTGGTTGACTGCAGCATCACATGTATATGGAAGCCCGTTTCCGCCACTGAATAAAAAAAATAAAAAAAAAGGTTATTGTGACTTTTTATCTCACAATTCTGACTTTTTTTCACAGAATTGCGAGATATAAACTCACAATTGCGAGATAAAAACGTGCAATTCAGACTTTTTCTCACAATTCTGACTTTTTTTCTCAAATCAGCAATTGCAAGTTATAAAGTCAGAATTGTGTGATATAAACTCGCAATTGCGAGTTAAAGTCCAATTTTGGGGGGGGGGGGACTGATATGTTCTCAGAATTGCGAGTTTATATAGAGATATATATATATTATGTAGAGATATATAAACTCGCAATTGCGTGTTATAAAGTCAGAATTGCGTGATATAAACTCGCAATTCTGAGAAAAAAAGTCCGAATTGTGAGATAAAAAGTCGCAATTACCTTTTTTATTTTTTATTCATTGGCGGAAACGGGCTTCCATACATGTATACTAAATAATGCACCTCAGTTTGAAAACTTGAGAGAAATGTCAACAGAGCTCCACATAAATTCCTATCATTTATTTAATATTTCAAAATGATCAATAAAATGGTTAGAATTGTGAATATTTATGCTTATTAGATTAAGATTGTTAAACTGTTCGCAACACGTTACTGTCAAACTCTTTTGGAAGCCATTGTGATTTGAGTCTTTGCTGCATGCCACGTGAGGAGCGATATTTGTGTTGCTGTTTTGCATTTTGATTGTAGTTTAAATTATATTTGTGATGGAATAATCATTTCTTTCTGTCTTGTAGCTGACATATCTTCCTCCTCCATGGGGTGACTGTAAGGCAACAGCAATGGACTCTGATTTTTTCAGCACATACAGTATCACTGCCTGCCGCATCGACTGCGAGACACGCTATCTGGTGGAGAATTGCAACTGCCGCATGGTGCACATGCCTGGTAATGTATCGACAGAACCAGATATATGATATGATGATGTCTGCAATGTTATAGATCTAGAATTATCCGTGTTATTCTCTTGTGAGCACCAAAAGGCAAAGCACAAATATTTCTCCCGAAGTTCATCATTTTGGTTTTATTCTGTAGCCTGATTTCTCAAACCCCCTAAAATCTTAAACTTAGTAACTACAATGAAAGAAACTTGAGAGAATCTCATTTCCCACAAAGTCTCATCTTTTTTAGTGTCTCTACTAATTTAGTGCGGTCTGGCCCACCAGTCATTTAATGAATGATTAAATTAATTGCTCATTCTTGTGGTGAATGAAATGTTTTCAAGCTGTTGCTTCTTAAGCCTGTGATTTTTAAACCCTCGCTGTGCTCCTAAAGCTGTTTAGCACGTCGTCTTGCTTCAATTCTAGTTGCTAGTTTTTGGCTTATTGAAAGTAAGAGGATTTTAACCTCAGCAAGTAGAAAACCACAGTTTCATGCAGCCCTGTTTGGATCCAGCTCCCCACTGAGTTCTGTGCGTCCGTTTGAAACGCGTCCCTCTGATCATCTCTAAAGACTTTGTCATTAACTAGATCTGAACTGCGTCTAACAGGGATTTGCTGTATCTTCAGTGCCATCTACACTGTGACAAAACTGGAACGCTCTGGTTATAATCAGCAAAGCTGTCTGCACTGCATGCGGACAACATCGTTATAATCAACAGCAACTTCGCAGACAGTAGCTTTGTAGACCATTTTTTACAGTAACTAGAGATTTGTAGCCAACTTTATTGATTTTAACTCAGCCTTGTTGATAAGCAAACTAGTTTATTATTACAAGAACATTCTAATTTGCTTATGTGGTCTAGACATGTTTTTCATTCAGCGTCGACTGTATGCGCTCTTTCTCTCTCTGCAAGATTCCTTAAACTATTCGAGGAAACTTCAAGACCTGGATAAATCAAATTAATTAAAAGAGGAAATCAGATTTTTGAGGAGATGTTCAGAGCTGATAACAACTGCGTGATGGACGACGGCACGTTTTAATTAACAGACAGACAGAGGCTGTTTCATTTCACCTTTAGCCAGAACATTGTGTTCTTCTCTCTCTGTGGCACATCTTTTGTTCTTTATCCTCATGCTTTTCTTAAAGGGTAACTCACACAAAAACACGTTCAGTTCTTATTTCACCCCAAAATCAAAAGCAAGTAATAAGAAAATACATTATACATGAAGCAAATGAAGTCTATTTTGTATAGTAACTGTTATTTGCATCACAATTAAGCACATTTCTCATCACTGTAATGAGTGTGGGCATTTTACTTCAGGGTTTGTTTGTAATTCTCATTATTCTTTATGATGTTTCTCATTAGATTCTCATTACTGTAATAAAGTCACAAAAATCCCTGTCTCTTTTTGTTGACATCAGAATAAATTCAAGACAGCACAAATACTATTATAGTGTATATACTTCATAATATATATATATATTTTATTTTTTTAGGTAAGGAAACTAAGGAATTTATTTTTCTTGAGGATTATAAAACCTGTTTTAGACATTTATTTATTTATTGCACTGAAATTTTTATGGCAATTAATTTGCCCTACTGCCTAATTTGTGGTAGTTTAAATAAATAAAAATGACAATAAATTAATTAATCACTGTGTCCAGACAAGATTATTTCCATGACCTTATTGCAGTAATGGGAATCTGATAAAAAAAAATCACCATTAAAAATAATAAGTAATGTAAAGAAGTAAAATGTCCACAATCAATACAGCAATGGTGCTTAATTGTTATTAATTGCAAATTGTAAAAGAAAAAACTTAATGATCCTAAAATAAGTTTGGTTTTCTTATTTAGATTTTGGGGTTATAATGACCTGGAATGAGATTTAAAATGATAAAATTACAGTTGCAACTAAAATTATACTGTATTGCATATGTTGCTTGGAGTCATCTTTGCTTATAGGCTGTGTTTCTGTCTTCAGGAGACGCTCCATATTGCACTCCGGAACAGTACAAGGAATGTGCAGATCCTGCTCTAGGTGAGAAATTCGTTCTGAAAGCGTTTCAATCTAGAGGCCAGTTCTCCTGAACCTGAGGCCATGATGGGACAGCTGGAATTATGACCACTTCTAACCGCACCACCCACTTCCCCAGGCCTTTTTATACTTCATCATCTGTCCCGTTGTTTTTCCAGCCAGGATTTTTGAGGTTAAGAGAAATGTTCTGTATTTTTCTCTGGCTCTAGATTTTCTGGTGGAGAGAGACAATGACTACTGCGTTTGCGAAACGCCCTGCAACATGACGCGCTACGGCAAAGAGCTGTCCTTCGTCAAGATCCCCAGCAAAGCCTCTGCCAAATACCTGGCCAAGAAGTTCAACAAGACGGAGCAGTACATCGCGTGAGTCTTGGGTTCAAGTCCAAATCCTAGAGTTTTGGCCATGACAAGACATTTGTCGGTTTATATTTCTCTCACATTGCATCTCAGAAAACTCGGTACACCAAAACACTGAGCAGTTTTGCTAATCTGACGTTGCGCAACTTTATATATACAGACACTTAAAATAAGAAATATTTACATAATTGAGAAAATTACTTGTTTTCAAGGAATATTTCTTGCAAATTGGCAAAGGTTTTTTTTTCTGAGCATGTTTTAAGCATAGACTTCAGTAAATCACAAAAAATTGCCAATTTCAAGAAATGTGTAATTTATGGTTGTTTGTTATGCCCCAAGTGTTGTTTAATTGTCCAGATTAGCAGCTGTTTAGCGCCTCGTCAGTAATTAACCGTGATCTTTGTCTGCCCTCATGCAAGATCCAGAGCGCCAATCATCTGAACAGCTTAAAGACCAGACAACAGCATGGCAGACATGTAACACATCACTGCTTTGACAAACACGCTAAGAAATGTCAGGAAATGTCTCCACATCCGCAGCCATCTGGAACAACATGAATCCTGATTAAGTTTACAGAGGGAGGTCAAGAAAGTTGCTGCTCTTAGTTTGCTGTGTATTCTACAGGCAATTATACTAGTTTAGGTATAAATTTACATGCTAAGATGTAAATATGTAATGTCATCTTATGAACTATTAACTGGTGTATGTTATTCTAAAGGAAAAAATGTAGTTCCTAATTCATCAAAATAAAATGACTTCTTTTCAGCTGATGTGTTAACTATTACTTCAGTGAAATTGTTTGTGCCGTTCCATGTTGACTTAAACTTTAATTTGTGAAATTATTACGGCAGCCTAAATGCACAAAACAGTGACCAAAATTGATCAAAATTTCATGAAACCATTTCAGGGCTCTACGCTTATTTTTCTTTTTAGGAGCACTTGTGCTCCTAACTTAAAATATTTAGGAGCACAGTCAAAAATTTAGGAGCACCTTCTTAATCAATAATCCAAATTTTGATCAAAAATTAGCCTTCCCATTACGAGGTGATATTTGACTCCTTAACGTGATTTACAGTGGACTTTTGTTTTTACCTTTGTAATGGCATTTTTCTAACTTTATTAAAAGTATGTAATCTTTTGTCAAATTTAAAAAAAAATTATATTTTATAAGCTTTTTAAAAATTCTTATTAAAACCACAGAATAAGAACAAGTAGAATAATAAGAATAAGTTACTAATCAAATTAAATCAGCATTAAAATTAATTTGTACAGAGGTGGCACAGAAGAACACAAAAGTGGCATGTAGGTGTATTTTCAGACATTTAATGAGGATCAGAGGTGGCATGAGTGCAATTAAATCCATAAATTCATGTTAAGATTAATGTTTTAAAAAATGTTGAATATAGAAATATTAAATGATTTAAAGAACTGAAAAGATACTTTAAAAATGAAACAAACTGCCAGCAGGTGGCGACAAGTCAAATGCGACTGAAATGGTCGCACTGTAGAGCCCTGCATTTTCTTATATTTGCATGATCTAAATGGAGAAAAACTATTATTTGCAGTATTTTGCATTTAGAAAATGAAGAGAAGTCAAGTGGAACAATTGCAAATTATTTGCAGTATTTTACTTTCAGAACAGGAAAAGAGAAGTTACTGAAGACCTTGGGAGAATTTAATCTTCTAAACGCAACAGCTGAATGCCTCTATTTAGTTTTCTGCTTGTTCCCAAAAATATTGATGACTATCCAGTGAAAATGCTCAAAATCAGATATCTGCCATGGTTTCTTCAATTTAGGAAATGAATCATACATAATCATAAATCTGCCATTATCTACTTGTCTTTGATAGTAGTAGGGTTATGTATTAATTTAAAGCTGAGATGCTGATGTTTTGAACCCAGATGATGTAATGTCTGGGTTTTAAAGGGGAAAGATACTTGGTTTTAGAGTAGCACCTCATTCGCATTCTTCGATAAACCTGCTGCAAAAGAATCATTAAGGCTAACCTTTTTAGTGTTTTTGGCTTCTAGGTAGCTTTGAAGAGCTTGGGCAAACACTCATAAAATAACTGCAGCTGTCATCTGTACCTTAATTAAACATTTAATATGTATTCAGAGGGGATCAAAAAATGTAAACTTTCACACCATCTGCAGTGAATGTTCTTAATAAAAACTCAGTTTATTCATTTTTTTCGAAGAAGTCGAGTAAATTATATCAATATATAAAGTCTAAAGTGCCACTAGTTGATGTGCAAAAACGTAACAGATACACTCAGAATCGACTCCAGCTGTGTCTAAAATGGCCCGAGGTCTCTGCCGGCTCGACTCCAACCATCTGCTTACAGCAGTGGAAGATTAGAGAATGAAATGCTGTGAAATTGACAGATTGTGGATCAATGCTTGGAAGATGGTGTGAAAGATTGGGAGGGTTGTGGAAGTAAATGCAGTTGGGGTGTCCTCACCTTTCCCTTCTGTTCTGCCCTTTAGAGAAAACATCCTGGTGCTGGACATCTTCTTCGAGGCCCTCAACTACGAGACCATCGAGCAGAAGAAAGCCTACGAGATAGCCGGCCTTCTTGGTGAGCTGCGGTTTCTTATGTTAAGAGATGAATTCACAAGCCTTTAAATAATTTTATCCTTTTATATTTCCAGGTGTTCTTTCACTGTGGGCACCCTGTAAAATAATAATTGTTTACAAAATACCTTTCTCAAAAGAAGTCAGTTTTTCACTTTTTAGAAAGTCTAACTACCAATAACTAACTTATAGTGGCTGTAAACTAAGAACATAAAGACCATAAAGTTGTTGAACATCAAAAAAAATTGCAAACAGCAGCTTGTAATTTTACAATCCATTTAAGCACTATATGTTGCAAAGCTTGTTTGTTTGTTCATGTGGCTAATTACTGAACTAAACCGTTTCAGGTGACATTGGCGGACAGATGGGCCTGTTCATCGGGGCCAGTATCTTAACCATCCTGGAGCTCTTTGACTATCTGTATGAGGTAAGACCTCCATGACTCAAATCCAGACCTGCACCTGTTATTTCCTCTTTTCTCAATGTATTAAAGACCCTTCAGAGATAATTACCTTGAAACTTGATAGCTGTGGAAATTTCTGTCACTCAAAATGGCACATATTCTCCTTTCCCCCATAATTGTGTTCAATATGACCTTCACAAAAGCAGTGCTCTCTTAACATTGAAGCTTTCTTCCACTTGAGACCCCTTGCCACACTCAGCATCTGAATGAACAGAGTGTAAATATAGCATTAGCTTTCAAGCCTTTGCTCAGGATGTGATTGCTTTCGAGATATCAATACCTTAAGGCGAAGGGTAGAATTATCTCTTGATTGGGGAAAATTGTCATCGGCTATGATGATAGGCAATCCGGCAGGCAAGCAGAACAGTGCAGAAGCAGACTACTAGAATCTTATTCAAAGCAAGTCGTGGACTCAATGTTGTTGGCAGATGCAGTGCTTCGAGCATTATGAAGAAATAATTTTGGTGTGCATGCAGACACTCTGTCATTAGCATCTTAATCAACCCAACGTCTGCTAAGAATATTGTCCTCCGGTCTTCTGTTGAAGATGACTTGATAACCATTGGTCTCATCTGCGAAAGTATTACACACTTGGGTGGGCGACGTTGTGTAAAAGGTATTGCAGCATTATTCCCCCTTTTGACAAATGTATGTTTTTGTATTTTGACCATATGGCCATTTTAGATGGCAGTGTTGATTTTAAAATGATGAAAATATAGAAAAATACCTCTGGTGCCGTGAGTCATAAATCATCACAATACTCATGATTCTGCTTAATGTTATATTGGCAGCAAAATCTTTGCCAAACACCCAATCCTGCAATGCATCAAGACATATGACTTTAAAAACAGGGAGGTGGTGCCAGGAGAGCTATTTTTCTTGTCTGTTCTCTCGGACGCTCCTTGGGTATCTCTGTATGGCAGTGATTGATAACAGATCACATGATCTTTTACAGGAAGTGCTGACTTGCACCTCTGCGCAACAGACTCACATGAGCCTTTGGAAAACAAAGGCAAATGCACAAGCATTCAAGGTGTTTCTGCTGAAAGATAAAAGAGACAAATAATGAAATGTAAAAGGGATATTTCATCCAAGGAAGCAAATCTGTCATAACTGACTTACCTTAATGTAGTTTCAAACATGAATGACGTTCTTTTTTCAGTAGAATGCTAAAGGAGATGTTTAGCAGACTGTTCATACTGCTTTATGAAAACAGTTTCTGCATTCTTGACAGAATTATTGTATTTATCTCATCATTCCCAATGGAGAAATGTGGGATGTTTTGGGGGCCTTTATCAGAAAGAGAGAGAAAAAAATATGAATCCATCCAATATGCTTATTTTATTCTGACACAAAATCACACATTACATAGTGATTCATGATTTTCAATTTGTATGTACAGACCTTTTAGGAGAACTTAACAGTAGTGACCAGGCTCTGGGCAAGTCTTATGAAGCAGTATGACAGTTTTGCATGAGGAATATATTATTTAGCAACTGAGACATTTAAGTCATTTTTAGTGATTATCTTCCCAGAATTATGCTTTCATTTGGGGGTTCTTTACCCAAAACCATTCTTGTGGAAAATATAAATAAATCTAGCAATGCACCAATTTTGACACGCCACGTGAAAAGTCCCTAGAGTCTGATTCAGACTCAACGACAGGCTCTGAGTAACGCCTGTGACATTAGGACACAGATGGAAGACAGGCTGTCAGATACGGCAGGTGGAAGCTGGCATCATTTGCAGGAAATGAGACACAAATACTGTCAGTTCCAGGACTTGTGTTTGTGTAATCTGGCTGGTTTAAACTGTCTTCTGGTACGTGACAGCCAAAAGCCAATAACAAACTACATCATCCATCCATCATGTTGTTCTGTGTGTCAGGAGGCCCTCATGGGAACTGGGGGGAAAAGCCCCAGTTACGAGTTCAGATCTGTTACTTCATATTGTTTCTGTCAATCTCTAGTAAAGCAGCATTTGAAGACAAGAAAACGGAGTTCCTGGAAATTTTCTGAATGTGTGCTTTACTCGGGAAACAAGATGCAAATAGGACTTGGCTAGTCTTACATCTACAAACCCCCAAGTTTTCAGTTCCATGCATCCATTTCTGCCATTCTAATCTCACAATGTTTTTCGGCAGTTATCATTGGATGTTGTTATCACATTTGTTTCATGCTTTTCTGATTTATATCAGATGTTCAAGTAAAATTTCCAGTAAGATCAAAACCTTCAAAAAAAAAGCTCTCCACATGACCATCCATAGCAGATATCATAGCGTGACCTGAACAGCAGGTTTTACCTGTGGGTTTGTTTTCTCTCTTCAAAGGTGATCAAGTTCAAACTCTGTCGCTGTTCCAAGAAGAAACACCAGCGGAGTAGCAACAACGAGCGAGGAGCCGTTCTCAGCCTGGATGACGTGAAGCATCACGTCAGTAACTATCAGATCAGTATCTGTGTTGGCCGATAAACTCATACTTACAGACAGTAAAGACTATGTCCAGAATAGTATACTGTCATACTGCTCATACTCTGTCTGTAGTATTCAGTATGTTTACTGTGGACAGTATGCAGTTTTTTTTAACCGGAAGACCAACTACATTATATGCCTATACAACACAGAACACTGCATGAGGTGCTGTATCCCACAATGCATTGCCAGAAATGGTAGTTATATTGCCAGAAATAGTAGTTATATCAGCTGTGTTTTTTTTGCATCATCTTAAATTATTATTTGATTAAACTGACAAAAGTTCAGACATTTCTACACATCTGTATTTTTGGAGATGGTAACTGGATGCCACTCGCTGAATTCACATGTACAAAATCAGGTCATGTTTGAAATAGTTATTGCTTCATACTGTGTGTTTCACATGCTACTTATTGCCTAATTGTAGGAAGTATTCAGTTTACACTGTGCAGTTTCTGAATATCTATCTTTCCTCTCAGGCGCCCTGTGAAAACCTTGGTACCCCTTCAACCTACCCAGCCAACATGCTACCTCACCATCCTGGCCAGGGCAACTTCGAAGACTTCACCTGTTGAGTGTAAAGTAAGAGCCTGACAGAGAACAACCAAAGCTGACCACATCAGTACGGGCCCCATTCACAACCGGACAATACAGAACAACCTTCTGGATCTGCTACACACTAGAAAACTACCATGTCTTGAGATATATCCAGACGTCAAGAGGAATGGTACTGATCAACAAAGTATATTTTCACTAAAATGTTCCATGGAAAACTTTTGATGAACATTTCAAGGAAATACTGCCTCAAAAACAAAACTCCTTGAAGTCTAAGAAATTACACATTACGTGACCTGGACATCGAATAGCTTTCTGCAGCTGGACCCTGATGCCTTTTGTGTACATAGTGATGGCTCTAAACTGTCTTAAGACCAGTGGCTTACGTAGGTCAGTAGATATAGCGCTTATTCACTGTATGTAGCCTCATTTGTCCCATCTGCTGGATCGATTCAGCCTCAGTGTATCTCACGAGAATGTAACTTCCCGAAAAAGGTGGCCATTACAAGCGTTAAAAGGGGGGTTTTGGGACGCTGGAGGGTTGAGGTCCCATATGACATTGTGTTACAGGTCTCATCTTGTAAATGCATGCTGGTCGTCTTGTGCATGTTTTTAGTTTTATTTAGATTTCATTATTACTATCGCCAAGTTTGCCTCAATTATATACAAGTGTTGGAAGATGGTGTAAAGTTTGTTTTCGTGTGCAGGTTTTACTGTTCTTGTGAAGATACAATTTCTCAATGACCCCAGAATAATAGCAAGCTGACAAAACTAGAGAGAACATCAAGGATACAACAGTTCAAAAAGAAACTAATCAATGTATAAATCCATATCTAAAAATGCCAAAACGTTTTATTTTAAAGGGTTAGTTCACCCAAAAATGAAAATTCTGTCATTAATTTCTCACCCTTGTGTTGTTCGAAACCCGTAAGACCTTCGTTCATCTTCGGAACACAATTTAAGATATTTTTGATTAAATGTGAGGGCTCTCTGACCCTCCCATAAACAGCAAGGTAACTACCACATTCAAGGTCCAGAAAAGTACCAAGATGATCGACAAAGTAGTCTGTGTGACATCAGTGGTTTTTTCATTTTTGGGTGAACTAACCCTTTAAGTTTAGGATTAGTCTGTTGTATAATTAGCATATATGACTAACAAGAAATGTGTGAATGGGAAGTCCCCAAAACATATTTGGACACTTAAAATATTCATGATTACGAATACATGATTGTTTATGTGTGCATGAAGGTGTGACTGAACAAGAATGTTTGTAACGAATGTTTCATCATTTGCGTGGTGTTGGTCTGGTCTGTTTCTGGATGAAATCGTTTCCAGATGAAAGCGTTTCCAGGATCTGGAATGTAACAAACCAAAGAGTTTGTATCGCTGGGTGGATCAGACCGATCGCTTGTACGGCACACCAGTCACGAACGCTAACTATTGTAGTTGTGCGTACGTATGTGTGCATGTATGTACGTGTGTTTGTTCGTGTGAGAGTTATTCTTCTGTCTTTATTTGGATTCTGTTAATGAAAATTGAACTGTGCTTTTAACAGCTTATTGTTTATTTGAATTCTGTACTTGCAGAGACGTATGTTAATGTCGCAAACTTCATATCAAAGCACAAACAAGACCACCGATATGTAAAGGTGATGTTAAAGAATGATAAAATATTCTTATCAGTGTTATCATGATAATCAGCAGATTCATTAGTACTCTTTCCTTTGTTTTTTTACTACAAACATACATATTGCCTGATAGTGCAGTCGGCAGATAATAGGCTGTTCTATTTATCTATGAAGGTATAATAAATATCATTCATAATTTTACAAACGTCTCACTGTTACTTCATTAAGCTTTAAGGTGGATGTCAGTAGATTGTTCATGTTTAACTTCAGAAGTAGAAGGAGTTTAGAATAATTCTTAAGGATTTATCCACATTAATGGACATGTACAAGACTGCAAGCTTACAATACATTTCTTTAGCCATGACGCTGTAAAGTCAACAGTGGAAAAGTAGTTTTACAGTATTTTAGTATAATTTTCCATTTCCACCAACAAAAGAATGCAGACTTTGAATAACTCTTAACAAAACTGGACATCATGGAAAGTATTCAGCTGCAGTATTCTTTATAAAAATGGACTAAAAATGGTTCTGAATTTTAAGTGGCTCCCGATTTCAAGCCTTACTGTTCACTTACATCAGAACTATTCATGAATTCAAACAGCAGGTAGAATTAATTTTGAACCTACATTATGGAAAGTAGAAAGAGGGAGATGAAAGATGAAGGGGATGTTCATGAGCATTAGACGGTGTCAGGATACAGGACATGAGTGAGACATCAAGATCGTTGGAGGACATCCGACCCGACTCTTCTCAGGAAAATGTATATTAAAGTGGCCTACTGGCATCAGAACCATGATTAAATATAAACAGCAGTTCACGTATAACTGGACTGCACTGTCCAAAGTCACCCACAGGCTTTCAATGTGGTCTTGTGGTGGTTTAGAACATGCTCTGTTTGTTTAAAGGAAGTGAGGGACATCACAAATGACTGATGAATGTCATTTCCTTCTGTCGTCTCTGTGCTAATGTGGGAACGTCTATGGCAGATGCAGGGAAAACTGCCAACGACTTCAGGCAGCACAACCCAACCGTCAGTGCATTCTATGAGGATCTTGAAGTGCAACACTAGTGCCTTTGAGACGTACCTTGTCCTCCAAACGCATCAAATATACACATTTGGAAAGATGCATTTAGTCTTGATTCGGCACAGCTGCTGCTGTTGTGAATGCGCAATTTGTTTGGGGTTTAGAACAAATATCCTTTTAAAGCCACATCCCAATTTTTCAAACTATCCATCCTAAATGATATGCAAAAGATTTTGTGCATCTACAATCATAGTATGTTAAAAAATACAACGCAAAAGGTATCTGGATGTTGTACTATTTCAAAGTGTGTATTGTGCATGCTTATGTAGTAATAATAAAATTATTATTTTAGTAGTAATATTCTTATTTTAGCTATTAATGCCTATGATTGTTGTATATGGTATCCCCATGGTACATTTTTAACTAAAACAAAAACACGGTAATACCATGTCCAGAAAACAGTAATACCGTGGTGAAAAAAAGACTCTAATGTGGAGCAACTGGCTACACGTGATCTTGTTTTACAGTTTGTGATAGATGCGTGTAAGTAATTGAGCAAACTGACGTTAACGTCCTTGTCACCTAATAGGTGCTACCTTCCTATAACGTATTATAACATTAGCGGTGTCACTTAATTTTTCAGATCATCTGAAAGTGTGAAAATGGAACTACCCTACAAGCCTCTTTGAGTTCATCACTCTGGTACTCGCTCATTGAAAATGAGTTACTATTCATTTCCCATAATGCAACTGTCAAGGGTTTCTGCCCTTGTGCCAATTTATCCTGTCAGATCTCATGGCACAATTAGAAGCTGCAGCCGTTTGTCACTGATAAGAGTGTCATCGTGCTCTTTGAGAGGATTAATAAGAACTCCAGAGACTGGCGCTTTTTAACCGGGTCGACTGGAGAGACCTTCATTTGCTTTCATGCCAGTTTTTGCATCCATCGTATTTAGAAATTCTGGCATGTGTCTATCTATGTGTCATCAGTTGCCCACTAGGTTCATCAATAATCTTTTTGTGCAGGAGGACAGTGTGATATAATTGGCAATAAGAATGAGAAAAGCTAAGAACTCATTGGCTTTGGCAGCAAAAATCTTAACATGTCAAAAAATATGCAACAAGTAACAGTAAACAAGCTCCATTTTGTTTGTATGTCTTACCTGCAGTACTTGCATCATCACTGGCATATGTTGGTGTTCAGGTTACAGTATTAGAGGGAAGTTATTCGATCAGTTAGATGAATCGGTGAAGAGACCTCATGTGGTTTTCTCCTGCAGAAAGACGATACAAATCTTATTAAAACTATGTAAAACTTACGTAATGTACTACTCACTTACATTCAATACGTGAATATGAAAAGCCAGGCCAGCAACCAGCATTAACTGCTGAAAATAACGACAATACGGTGATTCAGAGGGAAAACACTGATGGAACATCAACTGTGAATAATATTATGTATTTTACATAAATGTCCTCAAATTTTGTTCATAACATCTGTAAGCAGTTTATTAGGCTACTAGAGATTAGTCATACGAACCCGAAACAATCTCGATGTAACTCGCATTAATAATCTCATATCATGTCTACATATCATGAGGATACTTTTACTTAATATGTTATCGATGTAAATAACTAAAGAAACAGCTTAAATTTTGACGGAGCTGATTGAAGCTTAGAGCGCGAACCAATGAAAGGGCGCGAACTGAGGAAAAAATGACATCACGCATACGCATACCGTCAGTATACAGTTAAATATGTGATTTTAATATTGTAATAATATAAATTATAATACATGTACATGCATATTAAAATAAATACTTTTTTTGTTTCGCTTTTAAAGGGGTCATATGATCTTGCTAAAAAGAACATTAATTTGTGTATTTGGTGTAATGAAATGTGTTTATGCGGTTTAAGGTTACAAAAACACATTATTTTCCACATACTGTACATTATTGTTTCTCCTCTATGCCGATAGAGTCTATGTCGATTTTTACAAAGCTCATCGGTCTGAAAAAGCGAGGTGTGCTGTGATTGCGAATATGTGATTTACATATTACATTTATGTATATGTAAATATATTAGATTCCTATAAATGTAAATATATTTTAAAACATTCAAGTAAATAAACAAGTTTTCACAGAATATATTCCCGTTTACTCAAACTGTATGTAAATAAATTAAATTTGCCCCTTCATAATAAATCAAACAGAAATTGGACACTGAGAAAATGTAAAAATCTTCAGACAATGCAACTTAAAATCAGTGACAATATCAATTGAATTGACTTATTAATATAAAGAGTACATTTATTTATCAACACCAGTTCAGCATGAACCAACAAAAATTATGAATGCTCATGATGTTTCTGGCACATAAATAAAAGATTATCCTTCTGTAAGCATCCAGGGTCAAAACATTATGCACAAATATGCAAGTCTTAGTAGGCATTCAACACATTGCATTTAAATATTTAAGAGCCATCATTAACCATGCACACAATTCATCAACTAATCACATGCTCCCACAATAATACATCAGCTAATCATGCCCTTAACCAACCCACTTCAAATAATTAATTGAAAATCATACGCAAAATATATATATATTTTTTTGGCAATTCACCATTAAAAAAAAAAAAAAAAGCAATATCATGCCTGGGCTTCTTTCATTGCAGGTTACATTATTATGCCAGTAGGTGGCAGCCAGAGACTGTCTTAATCAGTTAGTTAACCACTGAAAGAATACTATGACAAAGATATCACTTTATGTGGATATACAGCAAATGTGAAGGTGCACTTATGAATAGATGTATTATAGCAAACCAAATTTAATGAATCTCACCCCTAACATACAGCATTATGGTCAGTTTACACTGCCACAAAAACTATTTAAAAAAACATGATTATTTTGTTTTGTTTGGACAGTGTGTTCACCCTGTAGGAGTATGGCGGTGTGAATTGGCTAACCCTAACCCTATTTTTGCAATATTCAAGTGTTCATGTCCCTGAGTAATATCGGCATGATATTTTTACTTTTAGGTCAAATTAATTAGCTTACTTCCATTTATCTATTGGCAAATTACCAGCAAAACATTTACAAAGCTATCAAAACCGCTCATCTACACATAAGATGTGATTAAAAGCCCAAACTTTCATTAATAAGAGCTCAAATCTATAGTTAGCCTACCTCTTATAGTTAGCATGTATAAGTTCACGGTTGTGATGCTAACGGTCTTTTTCTGAAGACACTAAACCCTTTCTGTAAAGTAAATATTGAACAGAAACGTCAGTTACATGTAAGAAAGTGTCAGGAAGAGTTGTATGTATTATTTCTGTGATTTTAGTGACTAAACTTACCTGAAAACAGTGAAGACAACACGAGTTTCACTACTTGTCAGCTGAGCTAACACCCCGTTTCCATGGTAACTCCCTCCGCTCCAGTTTAAATGCAAGTGACTAAACTTACCTGAAAGCAGTGAAAACAACACTGAGAGACGTAGTTTGCTACTTGTCAGCTGAGTTGATGCCAACTCCTGCGGTAACTCCCTCCGCTCCAGTTTAAATGTTCAACTCGCGCGCCCATTAAAACACGTCAAAGTTACCAGCATTTACATAAATAGTACATAAAAGTCAGATAAAATGTCCTGAAGCTTGATCACGTATTGTTTAAGTGGATAGTAGGCCTACATCAAACTGTAAATTCAATGAGAATATGAAAGCAGTATTGCAAAACATTGTTTGAAGACATTTTATATATATATATATATATATATATATATATGTATATGTGTGTGTGTGTGTGTGTGTGTATATATATATATATATATAGATAGATAGATAGATAGATAGATATACTATACTATACTATACTATACTATACTATACTATACTATACTATACTATACTATACTATACTATACTATACTATACTATACTATACTATACTATACTATACTATACTATACTATACTATACTATACTATACTATACTATACTATACTATACTATACTATACTATACTATAATTATGGTTTAGCTTTAAACCGTAAACCTATAGTGTAGATATAAAATTAGGCTGCATTGCAAAAACGCAATGATTAAAAATACATCATATGAGGCATGAATATAATTTCACATAAATGCATAATTAAACACGCAACATGAGCTTTATGTTCTATGCATTTGTAAAATATATTTTCAAAATATATTTCAATATATTTAACAGTGTTTCACATATATATTACCTTTCTGTATGGGACCTGTGAGATATCTTCATTTTGTGTTGATAGTTTCAATCCAGGCATCTTTTGAAAGCAAGATAGAGCTTTGGCAGAACATATTTAACTTGATTTTAGTGAGTTTTGACAAGAAAAGGGAGCGTTAAATGGCCATATGGTATATTTGATGTTCATATTTGTGTTTATTGATCAGAAGTGTGGGTGGAAAGCAGGCCACCTGTTATATAATACAAATTAAATCCAACAAAAGCTGCTGTTATATCTTTTTCTTTTTCTTCTCTCACAATATGAAGTCTCAATAAAAATAAAGCACCTTTTTTTATCAACATAATCACAAGTGAACGGAGTGAACCTCATAAAGATGCCTTTTGCAACAAACTGAAGTGACTGAAATGAAAACCAGCTCTTTATGTTCTAATGCAGGCAGGGGGTCTGATCATCCTGTTCTTGTTTCATACATGTGCTGCGACTAATTGCTCGAAATTAGTACTAGTTCATTCCTGTCAGCACAATGCAATTAAAACATAGAAAACGTTTCAAACTGCTGTGAAAGGAAATGTTCACATTTACAGTATAAGGACTAACATGCATGTTATCAGTTTTTGAGAGCTGTACATTTTTTAATCATCAGCATGAAACCAGTCTGAAGGGTTCCCAGAAACTTGAAATATTTATTTATTTATCTTAAGGCCTGGGAAGGTAATTTCCATGGAAACATTTTACCAGGAATACATCACACCTCATACACATATATTTGCACAGCGAATTAAGGGATTGATTTTAGAGTGCGCTAATGGGAAAGAGTTTAATGATATCATCAGAGTGTTTGTGACCGCTGATGTGTGACTTATGGCCGTTGGCGCAGTCGGCCCTTTTAATCAACCGCAGTGAGTGCTTAGTTAAACCACTCTGTGTGTGTACAAATCTGTGCATTAGGATGTACGCCCAAATGTCAAAATGAAGGACGTAGAGAGAGAGATGCTTGACTTCTCATTTGCATGTGATTCTGATGTCCACTGCAGTGGACAGAGCTTTAAAAGTCATTTTAAGCATTCAGAGTGTGATGTTTTATTCATGCAACCACCACAGATGATGATGACCTTTGATCCCTTCCCATAGTTCTCTCCTCTTTTTATGTTATTGTGTTTTTATTTACAACAATCTAAATTCAAATGGCTAAGAAAAGTGATGAAGCACCAATTTAAAAGGAAAATTGATTGTGTTAGTAGTGTTAATACTTTATTTTCATATATATTAGATATTATTATATAAAGATATTTGACCATCTCAAAATTCTAGCCTGATGACTATTTATGGGTGTTTGTCTCCCTCTTTTGGATATAGTCTGAATTTATTCATATTAATTTGGGCCAAGAGTGAACAAATCTTCATGTAAGTATGGGGAGTAGCCTCTGTTGTGAAGAATTACTTGATTGTTCTTTTAAAAATTTTATGTTTTTTAACTGTAAACCAGGAGTTAATGTTTTTTTGTACCATAAAATTAAATTTACATCAAAGCCTTTCAATACTGAATGTTTATTATTAATAATAAATGTAATCATAATATAAATAAATGACATTTGTCATTATTAGAAATGTAAATCAGATAATATTACAATACATAGCCTACAATAAAAAAAAATAATAAATGAAATAAAAAAAATACAAAAACAAAACAGGGGAGACATTTTTATAAAGTTAAACATTGAGATTTTTAAACTTTTTTAAAATTTCAATTCATTCAACATATGACTTAAAGTCTTCCAGAAAAAATGACCATAGCGGATTCTTACCTAAAAATGTATGTTAGGGACGTTTATGTATTAAAAATAAATGTACTGAATACGAGATTCTGAGTAAAATAATATTAGTAAGCATTGTATAAAACATGTAAACGATGACGTCAGTGCGCAAGCGGGATCTCTCTTCACATCTCGCGAGACTCCGTCACGCCTCACCGTTGGTGCTCTTCAGCTCTCGCGATACTCGTTCACATCTCACCGGTGGTGTTGCCCCGTCTGTTTGCGGCTCGGGAGAAGATGGCGGCGCGTAGTGGTTTTCAGCCTGCGACACCCGGAGGCGGCGGAGCCCCAATGGGACCCGGGCCGCCGGTAGCCGGTGCAGGGCCCGTAATGGGTCCCGGTACGCCCTCAGGACGGATGGGGCCCGGCGGCCCGCAGAACCATATGTATCGATCACCGATGCCCGCATACCCGGTAAGGCGCGAGGAGAACAAAGAAGCAGCCGATCCTAAACCAAGAGGATTGGGTTTAATGTTTGCATGCAGGATCTGTAGGTTTATTCAATACATAAAACAATCAGACTGTTTTGAAATGAATTAAAAAGTGTTAAAATGAGAATATGGCATTAAATTATGCGCGCGTTTAATGTTAGGTCACTGCAATGCTTCAAACTCCTCATGATTCCCATTAATAAACTGCAACAGATGATTTCTGTGAATTCCACTTATAATTTGCATAAAGAAAAATTAATCACCCGTAGATTTTGATGATATTAAGAGAGTTTCAGCAGAAAAACGTAGATGTGTATGATACTGGGGCCTACAGTAGCATCATACTGATGGGTTTGGTTGCTTTGATGGCCAGTGTGTTTGTATAGATGTTACAAATCATATATGATGCATGCAGCGTGCTTCAGATCACCAGTGGAGATACTTATGTTTAACATTTTTGTGGTTGAATACGTATTTTTAATTCAAAGTGAGAATTTGAGTGATTATGTTCTTCAGCAAGAAAAGCATCTTGAGCTTTAAAGATGAAGTCAGATGATCAGCAATGCTTTTTTTTTTTGTGACCCAGAAACCAACCAATGTTTGTCTGCTTTTTTTTTGTGATCTCAGCATTCAAAAAGTTACTTTTAGGGCCACTAAAAGGCTATTGTGTTGGTCAAGTAGGGCTGCGCGATATAGCTTAAAAATGTATCAACGATATAATGTTTCATATCGTCGGATGGGACCCGGCGGCCCGCAGAACCATATGTATCGACCACCGATGCCCGGATACCCGGTAAGGCGCGAGGAGAACAAAGAAGCACCCTAACCTAGACGGAGGGGTTTGGTTTTAATGTTTGCATACAGGATCTATGGGTTTATTCAATGCATCAAACATTCAGACTGTTTTGAATCGAATTAAAAAGCGTTAAAATGAGAATATCTTCCATTATTATGCTCGCGTGCTGTGGTGTTGATTTGAGTAGGTCACTGCAAAAGCATCAAACTCCACTTTTCTGATTTATAACCCAAAACACACGATTTGAGCATTTCTCTTATAATTTGCATAAATAAAAATTAAGCAGCAGTTAATTTGGATGACGTTAAGAGAGTTTCCGCAGAAAAGCGTGGATTTGTCTGATACTAGGGCCTACGGGAGCATCATCCTGATGGGTTTGTTGCATTGATGGTCAATGTGTTTATGGAGATATTACACATCATATATTATGCGTGCAGTGTGCCTGAGACCACCAGTGGAAATACTTCTGTTTTGAGTTTTTCTGGTTGAACACATATTTATAATCCCTTGAATTATCAACACACAGTGTAAGAGAAGTAGTTTGTTTATAGAAACATGGAAAAGTCAGAACGATCATGTTCTCCAGGATGATTTGAGATGTTCTTAAGAGCATCTTGAGCTTCAGTGACCATCTGTACAAACAGTCAGTTGATCAGCGACGCCTATTTTATTAGTGACCCAGAAACTGCATAATGTTTGTGTGCTTTATTGTGGCTAAACATTAAAAAGCTACTTTTATGGCCTCTAAAAGCTATTGTATTGTTCAAGGATTCTAGAAACAAATCACAAGTTTCACATTTAGGAAAAACATGTGGAGAATTTGTGCTTCTGCGTCCTGCATTCTAGGATGGATTAGGTTTTGGTTTGCTGTTTTTCTTGCTTATGTGTGTGTGTGTGTGTGTGTGTGTGTGTAGACTTCAGTGAAACCTTTTGAACACACGTGCTCTTTTATTTAGGAGAAAAGTACGATTTAATTTTTTTTTGTGCAACTTCATGTTTGCATTCTTCAATTGTTTGAGTTGCGATTGAAGGTTGTTTATTAATACATTGCAGTGGAACAATATATATATATATATATAT